TGGGTGTCTCCTCTTGCAGGGCCTGACAGGAGCAAAAGGGGAACCAGGACCTATGGGTGGGCCAGGACTGAAGGTGAGGCAGGAGCTGCTCTGGGACAGCTGCTCCCACTTTCCTAGGCTCTCACTTTCCTAGGCTCCCAACTTCCCAGGCTCCTACCTTCCCAGGTTCCCAACTTCCCAGACTCCCTCCTTCCAGTGCTTCCACCTTCCCAAGTCTCACCTTCCCAGGTCTCACCTTCCTAGGCTCCCACCTTCCCACTTCCCAGGTTCCCACTCTCACTTTCCCAGGCTCCTACTTTCCCAGGTTCCTACCTTCCCAGGTTCCCAACTTCCCAGACTCCCTCCTTCCAGTGCTTCCACCTTCCCAAGTCTCACCTTCCCAGGTCTCACCTTTCTTCCTCCTTCCACCTCCTTCCTTCCCATTCCCACTCCCACTTTCTCAGGCTTCTTCCTTCCCTGGCTCCCACCTTCCCACTCCCACTTTTCCAGGCTCACACCTTCCCAAGTCTCACTTTCCCAAACTCCCACCTTCCCACTCCCACTTTCCCAGGCTCCTTCCTTCCCAAGCTCCAACCTTTCTGGGCTCCCATCTTCCCAGGTTTCACCTTCCCAGTATCCTACCTTCCCAATATCCTACCTTCCCAGGCTCCTTCTTTCCCAGTCTCCCACCTTTCTCCCCTGGATCCAGCAGAGCCTGGCCAGGCTGTGCCCAGCCCTGTGACTGTGGACACAGGAATTGGGTGATGGAGTGTTTGGCTCCAAGGGAACACTGAAACTGGGGTGAGGGAAGGGAAATTTAGCAGCTGTCAGAGCAGTTGCATCTCCTGTCTCTCTCCTTTTCCATCCCAACAGGGCCAGCCTGGACTGCCAGGACCTCCAGGGCTCCCTGTGAGTATCCACAGCTCCCGTGGGTGCTGGTGATGCTCCTGCACCCCTGAGCTGGGTGGGAGCAGAGTGGGCAGCATGGGCATCACCCTGCTCAGGGCATCACTGATGGGTTTGGGGCTTGGAGAACTCACACCAACCTTGTCTTTCTTCTCATTGCAGGGTCCTTCACTGCCAGGACCTCCTGTAAGTGCCACTCTGTGGGGCTGGGGTGGGATCCTGCCTGGTATTGTGCTGGAAGAGCTCAGAACTTAAAACCTCAAAGTAAGGAGTGACCTCTCTCACTCTGGACACGTCTCTCTTCTCCTGAAGGGGCTTCCAGGCCAGGTTGGGCTTCCTGGAGAGATTGGAGTGTTGGGACCCAAGGTGAGGAGTCAGGAGGGGCATGGGACAACTTTCCCTCACACTTGCATCTATTTCCCACACTCCTGGGTGAACAGGGATGATCCTGTGAGGTGGGAGAGTGGGAAGGGAGGGGTGACAGGCTCTGTGCCATGAGCTGCATCCCCAGTTCCTGCTGGGTCTCCATCCCCTCTCCATCCCAGCTCCAGCAGCACCTGACATCTCCTTCCCTGGGGTTGTTCTCTCCTAGGGTGACCCTGGCCCTGACGGCCCTCGGGGTCCTCCAGGCCCTCCAGGCAAACCTGTGAGTATCTCCCCAACCAGCATCCTCTGCAGGAGGGAGAAGAGTCCTCCCTCCTGGGGTTGGAGCCAGGATTTGGGTCCTGCACACACCTCCCACCCCATGCCTTGCTCCCCTCTCCTGGAACACCATCCTGCTGTTAACCCATGGGTGCTGCTGGTCAGGGCCTCCCAGGACACATCCAAGGACTGGAAGGCAGTGCTGATTTCCTGGTGAGAGTTGACCCCTCAGAGGGCTCTGCAGGGCACTTGGCTACCTGAAATCCATTGCCCCCTGGAATCTGGCACCTGGGGAGGAGCAGGGTGGTCAGGCAGAGCTGGGTGTCCCCTGTGCTCCCACCTGGCACAGGAGTCTGTCTGTGCTTCTCCATAGCCTCCAGGTCCTTTCCCAACTCAACCTGTGCTTCTTCTTCCCCCTCCAGTGCCCAACCAGTTGCCCCCCAGGCCCCAAGGGCCCTCAGGGACTGCAGGGACTGAAGGTAAGGGAGACCTGGAGCTGCTGGGGGGGGAGCAGGGACCATTACCTGCTCACTTCTTCCTTCCTTCTAACTCTTTCCTTCCACCTTCCACCTTCCTCCTTCCACCTCCTTCCTTCCACCTCCCTCCTTCCCACCTCCTTCTTTCCATCTTCCTCCTTCCACCTCCTTCCTTCCCACCTCCCTGGGGGAAATGGGAAGGAAGTGGAGGATCCTTCCCTGGTCTTAGGAGCTCCCCTGGGAACACAAGGACACAGAGAGCTCTGAAGACAAAGGTGATGTGAGAGATGTCCCTTGTGGTTCTCCAGTTCCTGCCAGACCCTTCCTGGGGGTGATTCCCTGGGCCAGAGCCCCAACCATGACACTAGTCCCAGCACATTCCCAGTGGGATGCTGAGCCCCACCACGTTCCCACTGGGCACCCCAGGGTGGGATGTGATGGGCAGGGTGGCTCTGGGTGCTGTGGCCATCAGGATAATACCTGGACCCTTTGCCAGGGATGTTCATGAGCTTCCTCTTCATCCCTAGGGCCACAGAGGTCGTCCTGGAACTCTTGGGGAACCTGGAAAACAGGGAGGGCAGGTGAGTACCCAGCAGGACTGTCTCACCACGGGGGTGGAATAAGGGAGGGAGGAAGGGAAGAAGGAAAGAGGAAAGGGAGAGGGAGGAAGGGGAAGGAGTGAGAAAGGGGAAGGAGAGAGAAAGGGGAAGGAGGGGGAAAGGGGAAGGAGGGAGGAAGGGGAGGGAAGGAGG